CCCCAAAACCCCAAAACCCCAAAACCCCAAAACCCCTTTATAAAAACCACTTATAGAATTCAAATATAATTTAAAATGAAGCTTGCTGCTGTTTTCTTAGTGATACTTTTGAGCTTATCACTAGCACAAAGACCTTCTGCAAAACCTTACAATAGAAGGATTCCGAATGATAAAAAATCAATTGGAATGACCTTCCAGGCTCCTCCACCAAATGACACTGATAAGTTCATTCAAGGATTTATTGGAATGATACTTTCTGAATTGAAAGACTTGCATATAGACTCTTATCCAGTCGAGAATGGAGAGTTCAAAAATGTGGATATAAAAATGAGCTTCCCTAAAGAGGATGGAATAACCTTCAGAGGTGATCCAAATGGGGATGCCCTTCTCTTCAAACTACACAATGTGAAGGCTACTATTGATACTGACATGAATCTTGAAGGAGGTACTGTCAAAGGAAGTGCAGTGATTGACATCGATGATATGGATATTGATCTCAAAACTACCCCTATTAGTGAAGATGGGGAAGACCATGTTGACATCCAATTCCATATGCATCTTAAAGATGCAGATATTTCAGCAGACGTAAATACACTTGAATTTGATGATGAAATGCCAGAAGGATTTGATCTTGATGCTCTAATTGGAGGAATGAACTTCAAAATTGGTGCAGTAAAAATGATTGATGAAAAACTTGAGAAACAAACTAGCGAAATTCTTCTAAACTACTTTGACGGTATAGTTGAAGTTATGAAATCCCAATACAAAATTCCCAAGAAGGTAGATAACAACGTAAGGTTTCCTTTTAATAATCTAGAATCTTGGAGACATAATAGTGAATGCTAAAGCTACATCATTAATGATTGGAGGAGATAATTCCGTCAGGATTGATTACGATATGCATACTGACATGATTCAAAAATCAAAACAAGGAATTAAAGATCTGTTAGTCCATCCCAACTTCAAATCTCAAGGAGTTATCGAAGGAGAAAAAGCCTTAGAGAATACCAGATCTGCTCTTATTGATGGAAAGCATCATGTTCTTATTGCTCCTCATTTAGTCAGCGGAGTAATGTCAAACTTTGATGATAGTGGCGTATCTTTTAAACTAGGAGGACAAACAAAGCTTCAAGATAAAGTTAAACAATATTTTGGAAGTCAAATTCAATTTAACTGTGCAAAGCATGAAAATGATACTCCAGAATATCATGTTGAGAAAGAAACAATTGTAGGGAAACAAAAAGTTTCTTGTTCTCTATATCCAGTTGGATTCGAATTCGAGCCACTTTATCAAATTGATCTGAATTTAGTATTTACCATTCATCCTGAATTAGACTCAGATGGAAAATCTCTCAAAGCTGAATTTGGAGATATCCAAACTACCGATATCTCTGTTCATGATAAGAGAATAGAGTTAAACACCAATATTTATGATAAGATGGAGGCCCCTCCAATGATGTTTTTCGATCCATTCCAAGGATTCATTGCAGAAATGGATCTTCCATTCATAGACCAATCTGATCCAACTCTAACAGATGAAGATCATAAAAGACTAAAGGCTTTTCAGGAGATTTTCCAGATTCCAGAATTACTAGATAAACCCCAGCTAGATTTTGAGTTAATGCCTGAGTCCTTCATGATGCCTCTTCCACCAGGCCTAAAGTTCGATTCAAACTCTGAAGTCAAGGTGCATGACAATGGAGTTATTGATATTTCTGGAGATGTAATCAGCGAATAATTTTAAAATCTCCATCAATAAATTAATTATTCAAAGGGGTTTTGGGGTTTTGGGGTTTTGGGGGTTTGGGG